TTACTGCTCAGTGAAGACAGTGTTGAATTTGGGGGCTGCACTGATGATTCCCATCCCAATCCACACCATACACTGTCTGTGTTTGCAGCTTAGGGATGAAACACAGACAGCTAGTTTCACATTTAGCTCTCATACATGCCCTCGTTACATCTTCTTAATTCTGTATATTACACATATGCGTTTTACAGCCTACTTCTTTCGTCTTTTCACCTTCTCATTACAATTCATTTGTTCCATTCATCCATTCCATCTTTCCAGACGATGTAATGCTAAAAATGAGTTGCTATGATATCTTCGGGCAGGCGAAGTTTACGCCCAATGAACAGCAATATATACAGGAATTTTTGAGCGAAAAAATGAAGTAATCATCCTCGTGTGCTGTATGTGCGAAATTGAGTTGCACTTTGATCGGCATTATTAATTCTTGGGTGCTGTGGTTGTATTTGTGGTCTTCGACGATAATCGGTGATTTGTGCTGCCTTGCTGGTGTTTCTGCTACTTTTCTTTTGCTTAGTAATTAGATTTTTTTTTTTTTTGAGGTTGAATAAAACTTTGTCGGTAATACCGTGTCCAACAGAGTTCTGCCTTTCATTTACCACACTTCTTTACTCAACTAAACCCCCCTTATCATCATTCTCTTCCTAAGCATCAATTTTTCTCATTCCCATTCTAATGCTCTTCATTTACCACACTTCTTTCTTTACTCACCTAAACCCCCTTGTCATCATTCTTTACTGTGGAGAGGATGGGTTTCGGTTTTTACGCAAATGTGTATACGGAGGTAACACAGGGAGTAGAGGCTGACCGCCTGCACGATATCCTTGAAGCGGTTGTTTTGGGCAAGATATTGCTAGATACATATTCCAGCTATTTGAGATAATCCATCCATGAAAGCAGCTTTTCATTGTCGGTTGTATTGTTCTTCGGGTAATACTGTAAACTCCCAGGTTCAGTTTGAACAGTACTATATAATAATAAGAACTCATAGCGGGAAGGAGCGAGGGGGGGGGGGGAAGTT